CATGTAACCCACGTTTATGGTGCGTTGTAAATTACATATGAAGGTGTTTAAACACATTTAATCGTAATTGTAACAGTTACACAGAGTTTTTAAGAATTCGATTGGATGAGGGTTAAGTAATAAATGTTCGAAATGGTATGAACTATGTTTCTATTGGGAAGTATATATAATTTACCTTCAACGTTTTCAACAGTGTTTATGTCAGTCTTTGCTGCTCGTTTTACCAATAGCGTTGTGTTCTTGACAACATGGGTGGGTTGTTCCAATACACGTCTCACAGCTGAAAAGAGAAGATAACATCAGTGACTGGAAAGATATATATCTATGAAAATATGTGTGCTCACTCAACTCACGCAAAGCATGGTGATTGTGAATAAAAAAGTCTGGACCTCGCATTGGCTTACAGACATAATTGTATTGTTATATTTTATACTAACCATCCTCATTTTCAAAAGTCACAAAGAACTTGTCACCTTCCTGTCGACATTCGCTGACATCGCCACCACCAGATCGACGTTTGTTATCAAAATACAGCTCTATTGTTTCTGGAATAGTGCCTGGGTCACAACCAGTCACTTCTATAGTACAATTAGTTTCATCATCTAATACATCCACTATTTCTGAAATGAGATGTACAGGCTTATAAACTTGTTTGAGGCAAAACATATTTTACACAAAATATGCCCATCAGTCAGCCATTTTTAGTCTACATTTTGTTGACCACAAATAGCTGCATGCAGGGTACCTTTCACTAGCATCCATGGATAACGTGCATAATGTATAATTATGTAATGAAACTGTTATTTGAACGCCAAATGGCAATGAAACACACAACCGTACACATTTAAAAGAAGTCATTTAAGTAAAGTACAAGTTCATAAACGCAATAAAACAACAACCAAATTACAGATAAAACATAGTACATTACATTTCATTACATTGCGTGGTAAAATAAGTGAATGAATGATACATGGACCCCAAGATGTCAAAGTTTTTTTTTAAAAATTCATCACATTTTGATTCATATGCGGCGCCCGTCATACAGGATTCCAAGCCACAGAGTCAAGTGGCATTGATGCCATCGGAAATCATTTGTGATACAGTATTATCATACTAAACCACATACTCATTATATTTGCCAAAATGTGAAATCTAAACATGTTAAATTTAATACTGTCGTTATGCACACTTATCCCAACAAATATATCTGAAACGCGTTTTTTGTGTCTCCAACAAGTTTTATCTTTCAGTACCACCATCGACAACAGTGCACGTTTACATGCATTTTTCATAGTGTAACCGACGTTTATGGTGCGTTGTAAATTACAGATGAAGGTGTTTAAACACATTTAATCGTAATTGTAACAGTTACACAGAGTTTTTAATAATTTGATTGGATGAGGTTTAAGTAATAAATGTTTGAAATGGTATGAACTATGTTTCTATTGGGCAGGGTATATAATTTACCTTCAACGTTTTCAACAGTGTTTATGTCAGTCTTTGCTGCTCGTTTCACCAATAGCGTTGTGTTCTTGACAACATGGGTGGGTTGTTCCAATACACGCCCCACAGCTGAAAAGAGAAGATAACATCAGTGACTGGAAAGATATATATCTATGAAAATATGTGTGCTCACTCAACTCACGCAAAGCATGGTGATTGTGCACAAAAAAGTCTGGACCTCGCATTGGCTTACAGACATAATTGTATTGTTATATTTTATACTAACCATCCTCATTTTCAAAAGTCACAAAGAACTTGTCACCTTCCTGTCGACATTCGCTGACATCGCCACCACCAGATCGACGTTTGTTATCAAAATACAGCTCTATTGTTTCTGGACTAGTGCCTGGGTCACAACCAGTCACTTCTATAGTACAATTAGTTTCATCATCTAATACATCCACTATTTCTGAAATGAGATGTACAGACTTATAAACTTGTTTGAGGCAAAACATATTTTACACAAAATATGCCCATCAGTCAGCCATTTTTAGTCTACATTTTGTTGACCACGAATAGCTGCATGCAGGGTACCTTTCACTAGCATCCATGGATAACGTGCATAATGTATAATTATGTAATGAAACTGTTATTTGAATGCCAAATGGCAATGAAACACACAACCGTACACATTTAAAAGAAGTCATTTAAGTAAAGTACAAGTTCATAAACGCAATACAACAACAACCAAATTACAGATAAAACATAGTACATTACATTATATTACATTGCGTGGTAAAATAAGTGAATGAATGATACATGGACCCCAAGATGTCAAAGTGTTTGAAAAAAAAATCATCACATTCTGATTCATATGCGGCGCCCGTCATACAGGATTCCAAGCCACAGAGTCAAGTGGCATTGATGCCATCTGAAATCATTTGTGATACAGTATTATCATACTAAACCACATACTCATTATATTTGCCAAAATGTGAAATCTAAACATGTTACATTTAATACTGTCGTTATGCACACTTATCCCAACAAATATATCTGAAACGCGTTTTTTGTGTCTCCAACAAGTTTTACTTTTCAGTACCACCATCGACAACAGTGCCCGTTTACATGCATTTTTCATAGTGTAACCCACGTTTATGGTGCGTTGTAAATTACAGATGAAGGTGTTTAAACACATTTAATCGTAATTGTAACAGTTACACAGAGTTTTTAAGAATTTGATTGGATGAGGGTTAAGTAATAAATGTTCGAAATGGTATGGACTATGTTTCTATTGGGCAGGGTATATAATTTACCTTCAACGTTTTCAACAGTTTTTATGTCAGTCTTTGCTGCTCGTTTCACCAATAGCGTCGTGTTCTTGACAACATGGATGGGTTGTTCCAATACACGTCCCACAGCTGAAAAGAGAAGATAACATCAGTGACTGGAAAGATATATATCTATGAAAATATGTGTGCTCACTCAACTCACGCAAAGCATGGTGATTGTGCACAAAAAAGTCTGGACCTCGCATTGGCTTACAGACATAATTGTATTGTTATATTTTATACTAACCATCCTCATTTTCAAAAGTCACAAAGAACTTGTCACCTTCCTGTCGACATTCGCTGACATCGCCACCACCTGATCGACGTTTGTTATCAAAATACAGCTCTATTGTTTCTGGATTAGTGCCTGGGTCACAACCAGTCACTTCTATAGTACAATTAGTTTCATCATCTAACACATCCACTATTTCTGAAATGAGATGTACAGGCTTATAAACTTGTTTGAGGCAAAACATATTTTACACAAAATATGCCCATCAGTCAGCCATTTTTAGTCTACATTTTGTTGACCACAAATAGCTGCTTGCAGGATACCTTAGACTAGCAT